GTATTAGTGTTTTTGATTTTAAAACTACAACAACTAAAAATCTCCTTTTTGAGGAAACAATTCAGAATTTTGAGGAAAAAGTTCAGGATTTTGATGAAACAATTAAGGATTTTGAGGACACAATTAAGGATTTTGAGGAAACAATTAAGGATTTTGAGGAAACAATTAAGGATTTTGAGGACACAATTAAGGATTTTGAGGACACAATTAAGGATTTTGAGGACACAATTTAGGATTCTGAGAAAAAAATTCAGGATTTGGAGGAAAAAAATTAAGGATTTGGAGAAAAAAATTCAGGATTTTGAGCAAACAAATCTGAATTTTGAGGAACAAATCTAAACAATGAGAACATTTTTTTTAATTCTGACAAAAGACAATATTCTGAGAAAGTAAGAATTCCGAAAATACAATTCTGGAACAAATGTAAGAATTGTGAGAAAACAAAGCCCAAGTCTGCTAAAAAACAAGATAAAAGTCATAATTTTTGAAAGAGACGTCGGAGATGTCCCGCCCTTTAGTTTAAGATTTGAAATTCAGAAAAAAAAGTCAAAATGTCTTTCTCCCCCTCAGATGAATGAGTTTGATGAGATGCTGGTGAAGAAGAAGGAGGCGCAGGAGGAGCAGACGGCGTCTCTAGCGCTGCAGCACCAGCAGGAGGTGGAGGCTCTGAGGGAGGAGATGCTCGGCGTCCAGAAGACACAGCACGAGCTTCAGATCCGATTGGAGGAGGAGATCTCCACCCTTCAGAGGAGGCTCAACGAGGAGAAAGAGGAGAAGGACGTCCTGCAGGAGGAGCAGCTCACAGCGCTCAGGCAGCAGCTGCAGGAGGCGCACTCCTACGCCGCTGACCTGGAGGAGCAGGTCAACATGGACGAGGACGCTGTGGAGGAGCTGAGGAAGCAACAGGAGGAGGAGATAAAGAAACTGCAGGTGGAGCTTTCTGACGTCAGATTAGAGGAGGAGAGGAGGAAGCAGCAGCAGGAGGAGGAGGAGAGGAGGAGGAAGAAGCAGCAGGAGGAGGAGGAGAGGAGGTGGCTAAAGGACCTTGAAAATGAGAAGGCGCTGCTGCAAGAAAGACATACAGAAGAGCTGAAGGTCAGATTAGAGGAGGCGAAGGTGAGGTTTGAGGAGGAGCAGGTGGAGCTCTCTGAGGCCAAGCTAGAGGAGGCGACGAGGAGGCTGCAGGAGGAGTTTGAGAAGGAGAAGGAGGCGTTGCAAGAAAGACACAAAGAGGAGGTGAAGGTGCGACTAGAGGAGGTGAAGGTGACGTTTGAAGAGGAGAAGGTGCAGCTGGAGGAGCAGAGCAATGAGTCCCTGCAGGTGGTGCTGGAGGAGGAGGTGTTGAGGCTGGTGAGGGAGCAGCAGGAGAAGGAGGCTGAGCTCAGGATGCATTGGGAGGAGGAGACAGTCCGGCTGCAGGAGCTCCACCAGGAGGCCCTGCTGCAGGAGAGGCTGACGCTGCAGGAGCTCCACCAGGAGGCCCTGCTGCAGGAGAGGCTGACGCTGCAGG